TTATTTGTTTTATTTTCAATTCTTTGGGGTTATCATTTTTTGCATCAGGTTCATCCTTCCAGAATTTGCTGGCTTTGCTGTCACTTCCCATGGGCTTCCAAAAGCACTTTGGTCACAGTCAGCGTTCCCAAGCAATAGAACTCTATAGATGCGCGATCGGGTCCCATCCCTTCCCGAGCAATCGAAACCAAGGATCAAAATCGTGGAATGCAGCTTTGCAAGCTGCTGAGCTAAAGCACTGGGCCCCAAAAGCCTGAGCCTAGTGGCCTAGAAATTTGTGTGATACAGGGATGGAAGGTAAAGCAGGCTAGTCCCTCGCCCTAGCCCTGAATGAAAACTAAATTACACATGAAACTGTCAGAAACAAGATAAACAATCATGACCCAAATGAAAACCAAAATGACAGATCAAAAGAAAATGATGAACCAAAATGAAAAGGAAAATGACAGATGATTCGATGAGGAACCAAATGAACACCAAAATGACAGATGAAAAAGTGATGATCAAAATGAAAACCAAAATGCCACACGAAAAATGGTTTTAAACGCAAACATGGAAAGCATATGAAAAACGAAAAGAAAACGACATCAAAATGAAAATTGTTGTTCGCTCGAAAATTGCAATTTTCCTCGAGTCTTTTTCATTTGTTTGTTTTGGCCAGTTTCGGCCACAAAGCAACGAAAAAGCAAATGAAAAACGGAACAAATGTTAAAAAACTGAACATTGTTGTGTTCTCGGAAATTGTGATTTTCCTCGAGCTTTGTTTTTCGTTTTGGCTAGTTTCCACCACAAATCAACGATGGTCAGGTCCATTTCACAAAAGCTAAATAAAGGACACGCGCGTACCCGACTAGTCCAGCAAAGAGGGTTCAGGACTAGCTGACTTGGCCGCCTTTCCTTCAGGGGAGGCAATTGCAATTGAACTCCAGCATTCTTTTGTCTTGCGTGATCGTTTTCGCTAGTCTCGGCCACAAATTGGCAACATTGTAATGTGTTCATGTGATTTAATGTGTTCATTTTGTTTTAAGGTCAGCTAGTTTCGGCAACGCGTGAACGACAATCAAATACATGTCACAACAGCTAAAGCAAAATAGAAGGAAATGACTAGCCGGCTAGAGTAGCAAAGAGGGTTCAGGAGTAGGTGACTTGGCAGCCTTCGCCTCAGGGCACGCAAACGAAAACACACATGTATGATACTGATACACGAAAAAAGACTAATGGGCACGAAAAAAGATGATGAACACGAAAGCTGAAAAATAAATGTTTTGTCCACCCCCAGTCTGTGGCTGTAAGATTCTCTTAAGAATAAAATCCCTCATGGTGGTCACTACTGTTCTCCGCCGGGAAAAACGCCCTGAAGAATCGCCTCACCCATGTCACGCACTACCGACGATGCATGTTGCCTTTCTGGAAGAGACGTTTGCAGTGAACTGTCAGTCAGAAAATAGTTATGGCATGGCATTGAGATTGCTAAAAGAAATGCTAGTGGTGGAAGCCCTGCTACCGCTAGCCCAAACAAAGCTGCGTGCACCATGGGATGCGGTGACGACTTGCTCGCATTCGTCAGGCCGCCAAGGGGCCACGCGGGTCGCGGCCCGCTAGTTGTGGGCAGGTCGGCAAACAGCTGACTTTTCGAGCCCATACCTGCAACTGCTCAATTGGTACGGCTTAGCCCCCGTACATGGGTTTCTGGGCCAATAGTGTCAAGGCTTTTTTGTGTAGGCGCTCTCAACAATCCTCTCCTCCTCACGGTTGAAGCATCTAGCTTTTTTGAAGACCGGGAGAACATTCTTCTGAGGTGCTTGTGAAGTGCTGGCTCATGATCCGCCAAAGCTTGTCTGGGCCTCCTTCAGCTGACTGAGCAGTGAATCGCTCACCCAGCTAGTTCGTAAGTGGCGAAATTCCGGCAGACCCGCCAACAAGTGGTATACCGGGACCTTGCCATCTGACAAAGGGCAGAGCCATGACCACAGTTCCACGTTAGCGGCCGAGATCTGCAACGCAACCGAATTTTTCTTCGTCGGCCTTCTTGCATTGATGGCAGGGAGCCATCTGCGCTTTGAGTCCCTTCATGAGAGGGAGGACCTGAAACCTCACTTGCTGGCCAGATGTGGCTTGGTAATGCAATCTGGCCTGCCAGATCCAACTCTGCTGGCATGGCATACCACTTAGCAGCGTCTCATGATCGTGTACTTGTCCGTCCTTGTCCTCGAAGTAGGGTTTCACTGGGAGATGAGCGGGCTCCACGCTATGGCCTGATAGGAAAGGCCACGCAGGTTGAGGATTGGCTTGAGCCTTGGGTAGTATGCATATATATATATACTACATATATATACATGAAAGTGTTCCTGGTTTCTATTTCTTGCAATATGTTGTTCGCTTCATTACGAATCAACTCGCTCACAAACGTTGGCAATCTCAAGCTGTTTACATTACAGTAGGTTGTTCATTTTGACGTGTTCCACACACTGTGACACTAATCCCCCCTCCTGAGAGTGAACTTCAAGCTAACAAGTTTTCTGACCTTCGCTTTTTAGTCTTTAACTTGACAATGTGATTTCTAGGTCTGTTCTATTGATAGTGACTTGCCCCTTGTTTTGTACGCAGCTTGCTCCAGGTTGATTTGTACCACACTGTTTTTTGGTCTATTTGACTGGCAGAGTCACTGTGAATATTCTAGCTGAGAAAACAGAAAGGAGTAAAACATATTCAAGACGAGAACTACTTGAGGGAGATATGGTGTAGAACAGGAGAAAACCTGGACATGGAAAGGCCAAACGGCCAACCAGATTTATCAGCTTGCGATTTCCAACAGGTGTGTGGGTGACTTGATCTAGATTGAAGATGCGAAAAAGGTCTATGACTATGCCAGAGAATTGCAAGTATTGATAGAATAAGACTGGGGTTTACTGGGGTTATGCTCGCCAGGCAAGTGTACAGGGGCCAACCAATCCTTTACGGCTTTGTCTAACTTTGCTTTTTTTTGATTGATTCTCAATGCCCTTCAAACACCCCTTCAAGAACAGAAAGCCTTTGCAGGAGCTTCTGTTGGTCAAAGAGAGATTTGACTACGCATATTCCTTTCCCAAGCCTTTTCACTGAGATGTTCTTGCCAAAGGGCTCAAAGCCGCGCTTGTAGCGGAGCTTGTTTTTGCGGTTGGTGATGTTGCTCGCCTTGTTGTCTCCTTTCGGCTAGTTGGGTGGGAGGCTGGGGACATTGACGTTCTTGTCTTCAATCGTGTTGCCTAATGAAACTTTAGTGACGTGGAGCAAGTTGTCCAGAATTGTGCGGGCAACAAGATGTTGTTCTCCACCTGTCAGGTGAGGGTTGTTAGATTTTATGTCGGCTACCGTCCTCCTCCTCGTCCTCCTCATCCTCCTCGTCCTCCGCCTCCTCCTCGCAGTGTTCCCCACCGGACCTCAACCGCGAGTTCCGCGAGGCAGTGTTCCCCGCCGGACCGCAAACACTACAACACGCGATCACAAACACACGACCAGAAATGCAACACAAACACACAGTGGACAAACACGAACACAACCACAAACCCAAAAACACAAACACACAACCACAAACACAACGTAACTACAAACACACAATTACAAACACACAACCACAAAGACAGATCCACAGCACACAACCACAACACACAACCACAGCACACAAGTGCGGCCTGTTTATGTGAGTTACGTTCACTGAAATGTCATGGTGGGGATTTTCGACGCACTGTAATTTGTTTTTCATACGTTGCATGTGTTGCGATTTTGGCTTGGAGAACATGAGGGGGGCAACTTTCGATATTTTGTACTTGTTTGTGGTGGCTGGATTTCTTCTTGGCAGGTCCCTAGATGCACGCATTGACGTTGGCTCCCGGCTGCCTGATCCCGTCTGTCTTTCATGCAGGAGGTTTCATTGCTGGACTGTCGGTCGCCACTACGCGATAGCGCGACGGCGACAAAATCAATCCCAACATTTGGGAAACCATTCGACGTGTTAACTCGCATGATCGCAAATTCTGGAGGAAAGAGTCGTGCCCAAATCGCTCGAAACCTCAGCTTCGGCCCGCTTAAATTAAAGAAGCAACAACGCTTTGTTGCTGTTTTCAAACACGTGCATTATTAATCTCAGAACACTTGAAAGGATCGAAAACCGGATGGCCCACAGTAAATTCCTCGGCTTGAAAGAAGCACAGCTGTGGATAATATTGGAAAATGCTCACAACATGCGCGGAAACGAGCCCGGCGGGAGGTTTTTGTTGGCATTATCTTGAACAATATTACAGTATCTGTTATAATGTCTAACTCAACTCCTCTATTTAGTGAAAGTTGATTCCTCATATTTGTTATTATTTGTTTAACCAGGTCAGGGATCCTTTGGTTGAAGAGATTTTAGCTGCGTTGGGGCTCACGCCGGAGCAATTTGGCGACACCTTGACTCTACAAGGTTATGCAAGGCAGCTTCTGAAGACATGCTCTGCTACAAGGCAAGTATAACTATAATGACCTTCAATATAACCTTCAAACACATTGCATTGAAGTGTACACTTACTTATCAAACAGCTTCCACTAACAGGAAGACTTCTTCAAAGAAGCAGCCGTTTCCCACCTCTAGAGACAAGCTATCTAGGGTGCTAGCTGAAATACATTATCTAAGAACCCATAACTTTGTTTGCTTGATCTACACACAATTGCTTAAAATTACATAAAGTTACTTTCGATGAAACTTACCTTAATGCACCCTCGTCTGTCTACACCGCCCTTCTTGCAAAATACTGCAAATACTTCACAAAAAGAAACGTACCCATACATCGCATAAACAAAAGACGTAAGAACACTGCATGGTGCTTCTTTAAATTGAAAATTTGGATGCAAGTACTTTCACTTGAAGGCATCCTCTTGAGAAAGCTGCCTCAAACAAAGGACTTTTCCTGCATTTGGGTGCAAGCACAGTATCGACGTATCGAATGAGTGAGTGCACTTCATGCTTCTGCCATCGTTGATGCCTGCATAGCATCCACCAAATGCCACCAGGATGGTTTGGCCAGGCTGTACACGTCGGCCATGAAGGACAGCAAGCCCTGATCGGTCTCATGAACGCAACCGAGAACCCTGCATTCATACCCGTCGGGTGAAAGTCTAGCTTTGTTATTTTCTCAAGAGGAGAGCAACAGACATCAACTCCAACAGTGTACAAGCCAATGTGGTCAACAAACCTATGGAACTACAGGAGAATGAACGGGATACATGTTCACATTTGAGAGAAGAAAGGAATCAGTGCTGTCACAGTCTTCTTTAGGCCCGGTGAGTGAGTACCGAATTGCAAGAGATTGTACGGTGTCCAGATGTGAAGCGTATATGTCTACAATGCAGAATGCAGACCTAAATGCAAACATTGCACCTAAATACAAAAGCATGTGTTGTGATTAGTTGGTTAAAGACCATCTACAATACAACATATCAGAACACACTGACCACATCCACAGCAAAAACAAACCTACCACAGGGCCATGGGGCTTGGCGATGACCCAATTCTCATTCTTAAACATATTATCGTTCCAAAGAAGGCAGAAGGAAGGAAGAATCAAGCCCGGCAAGACCTGCATCAAAGGTCAAGGAGATGTGTGAAAGCAGCTAAATGTTCAGCGGAGCATCACTGCCCCTTGTGCTGTGCAACGAGTCACTCGTGCTTCCATACTGTCTACAATTTCATCTCATCTTCCCGTCCTGCAAGGTCAGCAGGACTGCCATCAATGTCCACGGCAGCAAACATGGTAATTCGGAGGTGAGCGCATCACCTTGCAACACAGCCATGATCTGATGACAAACCTTTTGCGTTGGATCGCGTGACATGGTTAACGCGTTTGCAATCGATTAACATCAACAAAGTGCGACAACAGCACTACATTGACATGTCCAGCAGGCACGCTTTTGTGTGGGCGGGCTGAGCTTCGAACAATGGTAGCCTACCAAGAGGCCCAACATACTGAAACTGAAGCAGGATGGTGCATAATACGGCACGTTCAACCTCAAGCCCGGCGAATTTCACAAGGAGCATTGGAGAGTTGATTTGCCCCTAAACTCCAATTGCTTGAAATGGCAAAGGACATGGAATCGACAAAAAGCACCAAGAAAAATAGAAAGCAACATGCTAATTGGAGACTAGTTGCACCTGCCCGCGCCACTGCTCGGGTACAGACGGCTTTGGTCTGTTGCGTTCGTACCATGGCGCCATGTGTAAGCATTGAGTACTGAAACAACAATACTATAATTGTTTGGTGCATTTTTCGGAATGCCCTGGACACCTGCTTGGGAAACTGAAAGTAAGTGAATGTGTTACATAGTGAGCAGTATCTGCTACTGTGTTGAGATTGGCAAAGCAGCCACGAAGCACAATGAGGGGTCTAGAGTGGCCATTGCCATGGGGATCTTGTTCTGCATTTAGAGCATGCCAAAGAAATTAATAAAGTGCCCTAAGTAACCTATCATATCTGCAATCGCACAAGAAAAGTAAGAAACATTAAGACCCCATCTTGATTGGCCTCTTCTTGGACTCCTCTGGCTTCAAAGGCCTAAGTCGATCCATTGCTGGAGGACAATACTTCCGCAGAGTTCCATGATCCACAAGCGTTTCAATTTGAAACTGCACGAAGCTTGAAGCTACCACGATCAAACAGCATGTATCCAAATTTGGTTAGTGACTTCTGGCATCACTAAAGAATCGTTCAAGGGGTGCACCACACAAGGCCAGGAGCTCCGTTCAGCAGCAATTGCTGCGATTGCTTCCGGAGGCTCCTATGAAATCTCAAGAAAGCGCCAAGCGGACAACAAGTTGAAAGCAAGCACTGCAAACAATCCTACCGGGGTTGAATGCAGGAAGCCTTTTGTCAATAGGTCTGTTCTATTTGGTCTTCATTTTTGCTTTATTTTTGGTCAATAGGAGAAACTGGATCGCTGATTCGTTGAGAAACTCTCAGATTCTAATGCACCTCTGAATTGGAGAGGTGAAACAAAAGAAACATGTAAGGAGCATCAAGCGATCAAGGACCGACATCCTCTTTGCAACACAAACCATTTAAAATGTTGTCCCGGTTGTCCCTATCATTCCCATACAACATGTAAAATCTTTTGAGTCTTGACAACACATCATGCGCACAGTACACTGCTCACTGGACGCTGCATCCTAGCCTCTGTGGTCCTTCGATTGATAAATAATATACTACAGAATCCTCTGAGTGTCGAAGCAAGATCCACTGTGTGGCAGGTCTCCTAACGAGCATTCGAAGGACACCGGCCACCTAAGCACTGCAGCCCGACTAGATTACAGCCTACAGCCTTGCATGCAGGATCAATTTACATTTGACATGACGGCAGGCTGCGCACTAGTAGTGGCAATACTTGGAGCAAACGGCACCCGCTTGGGATGTGCTAATTTCCAGTCTTGAGAACAACGTTGCTTTTGAGCAGTTTGCTCAGCCTGTGAGCAACCAATATTCGCCTATGTTGTACTGAGTATGCTAAGCTCAGAGCCCGAATTTCCGTGAGCATCGCCTTAGAGGTGAACCGTTGAAGTGTGCACAGAGTTTTCCTACAAGCACAGATCAAAGGTTCATTGGGTATACTCCCCGGAAATGCTCTACAAATGTGTACATGGGGTCCCACATGATGTATATAGATGTAGCTTGGGCGAGCGATTGCTCCAGAGTGTTCCCCAGGGATTTATACCCAACTTTTGCACCTTTGCATCAAGCGCCGCCAGGCAAGGCCATTCACTGTTAGTCCAGCAGAAGCCTGAAGACAAGCTGGTCATCTGCCAGCTCCACGCTACATTTGAGCATCATGCAATTTCTTGGCCTTTTTAGCTCCTGAGAACTGCGAGGCAGGCTTTCTTGAAAAAACAACTAATCTGGCTAGGAAACCCGACGCCAGCATGCATGTTGGATGTTTAGAGTCAATGTAGCCCAGGCCCATGTTTACCCTTGTAACGGACTTATACCAACGTATGTTAAGCAGCTCTATCCTTTGTTAAGACTCGGCAAGCACTTTGCGCATTCAGGCTTCTTGGCAGAAAAGCTTCTGTCCAGCGAGGCATTCTGCGGCAGAATTCCATTTTTTCTACAGATCATCTCATCGATCTCTGCTCCAAGTCGACTTGTGCGCGTCATCCGACATTTAACAGCCAACAGTTCGGAGGACTCCATGAGGATTCCCATAAAGGGCCAAATAGGAAGGCTGCAAAGATCTGCAAAGCCCCTCTTGCAGCAAAACTGTCAAACAGCACAGCGAGGAGGCACAGCGGTTCTTCTTTTGTCGGAGGATGTTGAAGGTATGAGCTGAAGTATTCCTCTTGAAGTGGCAAACGGCTGATGAGAGGCATCATAGAACCAACCTGAAAATATTGTATCACAAGCAAGACACCCTATCTGTGAATCATATAGCAATCTCGACACAAATGATGCAGACTCATGCAGATTCACCTTGACTCAACGTCTGAGTTATTGAATAGTCTGAATCCATCGGAAGCAGGGCTCGAGTAAACGACTGTTGTGCACTATTCACGTCCTATCCCATTTTGCCCACCGTGCCTGCGCATCAGCGCTTCGATGGTTCACCTTGGCACGCAGGCTTCAAGGAAGGCAATGCACAATCGAATCATCAGAAACAAAAAGAAACGATACCATATGCCATATGTTCCTTTCATCCGTTTCGAAAGGTATCATTTTTGAACAAATGCAAGAAACATTGGAAAACACCTGAAGGCACCAAGGCCCCAACTGCCACGATACGATCTCCTTTTTGGATGGCCAGCAGTGGATGCTGTCGATTCCTGTGCATTTGAGTTCTTTGCTTCAGGAAACAAACTAAACCAAACAAACTTATATAAGCTATGTAATAAAGGTCCATGCATCATTATGCATCAAAGGCCCTCACCAATCTGCGAAAGCACCAGCAGAAACAACACGCACGAGCAGTGCTTTGCGATCTTGTGTTGCTTCGAACTCTGCACCCAACCTAAGCACAGGAAATGGTCGGAATTCATATTGTTCAGTTTTACTAGGGATCTCTTCACAAACAAACATCACAGCTGAAACACGCAATCACCAGGCCCTTTCCAGCTCTTATGTTCCTTTCCCATCTTCAGCGGTTCTCTTGAGCTTCTTGCGGCGGACGGTGTTTCAAATCCAGTGTGACTGGGAACTCGCAAGGCCTCAAGATGGCGGTGCAGCAAGGTGATGCTGGATAAGCAACGAAACAACATGGAAATGGATGATAATTTTAAAGTATAATGCAGAAACCAAATGACATCATGCCTAGGGGCACAGTGACATTGTTTGACTGTGTTTGGAAAGTTTGTGCCCAAAACATTGTTCGAACATACATTCCTATATACCCCCATATAAAGAGTTAAACAAACAGTATTGAATCGCTTTGGTTTTGTGAAAGATTGCCAGAGTTTGTTTGGTTTTGACACTCAAAAAATTTGGTTGAACTTGTTTTCTTAAAGTAAGCTCCATCATACGTTTCCGACAACTTGTTGGATTTCCTAAGCTTCGAGAACAACATCCTCTTAGTGTTATTGATGAATATTCTTGTCGAGCGCCTGCACCATAAGCCAAATTACTTGAAGATAAACAAAAGGCTCCAAGACCAATTCCACCCTCTGCCCCCGCAGGTTCACCGCGCAAATCTTTTTCCAGCCAGAGGCGGATAGGTACGGGGCAGAAGAAAGCAGATCGATGTCATCGATCAGCCCAAGAACAACTGCTAAGTAGGGATGAAAAACACCCCCGTCTGCATCATCATCCATCCCCGCACTGCTCAAGAGCAAACAACCGCTCTGCTTTTATCATTTCACAAGGGCCCGTCTCCAATGTCCGAATAGCTGGGCACCCTGCAAAAATATGACACCACATCTAACTCTAGGAGTTGCGTGGGTCATGGCCGAATGAAACGAATGCAGGCTTTGCGCTTCCTGCCACCCACGCGTGCCTTGCTGAGTCATTCTTTATCTATGTGAAAACCAGCAGTTGGGATCCACGCAAAAGATCGGCCCACCAATCAGGGCATAATTGTTGCCGCGAAAATTAACTGGCTGGCGCGGGCACCCTTAGTTTGCAATGCTTGCGCAGCGTCTGCAGGAACTTTCTCACCAAAACAGGCTCTGGGGCCAAGATCTTTTCCATCCAGATCAGCACGCACAGTGCACGAGGGGAGCTTCACCCTCACAGCCCCCGTCAAAAACACAGTAGCCAAGTACTTAGACTTTTGACGGTTGCCGGTTTGGCCTTGCCATGCAGGACTCGATCATCCACCGAAAGCTTGCAACAAACCCCATCTACGACGCTTGGGTGTGGGCACCCGGCATGCTGACCTAAGAGTGAAAGGCCTTCTTGGCGTATCGACAAAAAATCCGCGCGTGCACGAAATTGAGACATGAACGCAAGGACGATGCCATCTAACGCTTTTGTGACCAACGCTTGATCAACGACGGCTGACAATTCATTTTTTCCAGGACAGTTGAAAAGATGGAGGACCACCTCGGATGCAGCGGACAAATCAAAGCCCTGGGGCTCGGATGTTGATTCTGGTCAATAGAAATGGTATGTTTTCTATTGATATTGATTCCTTTTTTTACTTGATTTTTTTCAATATTTTCATCGGTTTTTGCTTATTGATTTTTTTGCGAACTTTTATTGATATTTTTTTATTGATTTGAACATTGATTTGGATATTGATTTGGACATTGATCTTTTGGCTCAAGTTTGCTCCTCCTGTGGTTGACATACCTCTTGACAAAAGAGGTACAGGTGGAATCCCTCTGACAAAAAGGGATGTCCAAAGGTGGTGCAAGGCATACTGCAAAGCCTGAGGTGGATGAAGGCTTGCTGGTATCTTTGTTTTCAGAGCAAAGAAGTTCGCTGCAACACGTGGGGTCATATGAGAGAATCTCTAGATCCCAAGCCTGCAACCCAAAGGGTTTGATAGACCTGCTGCCCTTGACCAAAGGGCTAGTGAAGCTGGAGCCTACATGTGAAATCCACACCCAGTGCTTAAGAAAGGCACTATTCCAAGTTTGGGTTGAAAGTGGAAAGACTTGGAGTCTTGCAGTACCACATGAGAAGGTTGGCAAACTCCTCTTTGCAATCATGTGCTGCAAGATTGACAGTGCAGCAACTGCAAGAGGTTGTGAATATGATTGTAAAGAAGGAACAGCCAGCCGTTGTCCAAAGGGCTGAAGAACCTGAGCCTCAGCCAAAAAAGTTGAAGAAAGAGATTAGTGATGTAAGCTTAGACAGCTCAGATTTTCCTAAGTGCTTTGCCACCCCTGAACCGGAGAAAACCAATGCCAGCCAATGCCTCCCCCTGTCCAAAGGGGGGGGGAAAGCAATGAGGAAGAGAGGGAGGAAGGCCCCTTGACGAAAGGGGTTGGAACCCCTTCCTTCTTGAAACAAAGGCCAGGGCAACTTGCAGCAAAAGCTGCAAAAAAGCATGAGCCAATGGATTTGAAAAAAGATCTAAGCATTGCCAAGAGGCCTGCCAGCAAAAAGAAGGACAAGAAACCAAGCACAGGGAGTTCCTTGACAAAAGGTTCTCCAAAGGCAAAGAAAGGCAAGGCCAAAAAGAAGAAAAAGCAGAAGGCACCTGCAGATCATGCAGCAAGCACAAGGAAGCCATGGACAAAGTTGAGGGTGACCACTCCAAAAAAAACACCCTGGAGGACTTACATTTGTGGCACCACTGCACCAGGTGGCAAAGGCAAATTGCCTTTGATTGTGGAGACCACTAAGGTTGGCCACAGGCAGTACCTGGACATCATGGCTGAAGTCAAGAGAAGGCTCATCGCACAGCACCTTACCAAAGCAGAAGCTTTGGATTTGAGGGCCCATTTGTACAACACTTGGTAGGATTCTTGACAAAAGAATCCTTCATACCTTTGACCACAGAGCACTCAAGCAGCAACAATTTCCCTTGACCAAAGGGGAAGCAAGCAGCTATGTACAGAAGCAATACCCCTTGACCAAAGGGGTGTGCTGCTTTTTTAGGGTGGCAGCTCTCTTGACAAAAGGGCAGCTGCAGCAACTTTTTTGAAGCAGCTCTCCTTGGCCAAAGGGGGGCTACAACAGAGCTATGCTCCCATGAAAAAGAGCTGCTTCAAGATGGGGGCTGTAGGGTGTGGGTTAGTGTAGTAGTGGGGTAGTAGGAGTAGTGGTGGTGGTGGTGGTGGTAGCAGTAGAGAAAGAGCATGGTATATAGCACTAGTAGTGGTGGTGGTGGTTGCTGGTGGTTGCAGGTTGTTGTGTAACCCTTTAGGGTTATCTGTAGGGTTCTTTAAGCTCCACCAGGTCAAGGGTTGAGGGTTCTCTCCAGGGCTTTAGGTCCACCAGGCACAGGGTTTAGGAGGTAATGTGAATGTTTGGTAGTTTGGCTCAAGAAGTAGTAGAGAGTTGACAGTTCCTTGACAAAAGGAACTGTGTTTTTTTCAAGGGCCCAGCCAAGGATGTTCCTTGACCAAAGGATGTTTCCTTTGAAGAACAACAAGGGCAGGGCAACTGGCACTGGGACAGTGTCAAACGTAAGGAGAGAGGCCTTTGAAAAGAAAGGCGTGGAGAGAGAAAACAAGAACATGGGAGAAGAAGACAAGCTCTCCAAGGAGGTGGACTGGGAGGTGGAAAAGACAAGAAACACCAAGGCTAGGAAGCTGTCACCAGAAGAGGTGGCAGAGATGATGAAGCCCAAGGAGCCTCAGGTGAAAAAGGAGGAGGTGAAAAAAGAAGGAAAAGGAACAGTCTCTCTTGACAAAAGGGAGAACAAAAGAAAGGGTGGTGGAAAGAGCCCTTCCCAAATGGATGAAGATGAAGATGAAGGAGACCCAAAGAAGAAGGGCAAAGGTGGTGCAAAGAGCTCTTCCCAAGTGGATCATGAAGGTGAGATCCCAAAGGGAAAGGGCCAAGGGAAGAAAGGCCCTAAGAAGGGAAAGGAAAAGAAAGGAAAAGGTGATGGCAGTGTCACAAACAGATGGCCCCACACTTGGCAAAAGTGAGGTGAAGCAAGAGGCCCCAGCAGAGCCCTCAGGCCAAGGGGCTGGACCCAGAGTGGATTTGTCTGGGAGCCAAGCCCTCTGGCTCTGGCAGTCAGGCTGCACCCCACCTTGGAAGTTGATGACTGGGTGGATGAGGACACCCTTCATACCCTGAGGAAGGCAGGGGTGAAGGTGTGGGTCATCTCATTTGGTGGGCACAAGAGAAATCAAGCCACCATTGAGACCCTTGCAAGGTACAGGCGTACCCTCATAGCTCATTTGAGCATCACCAGCCAAAAATCTGGCTGGTTTGGCAAGATGCAATTGAGAGGAGGTCTGTGATGAATGTGAGGCAGCAGGCATGGAAGTCTACAGAATTGGGTGGCACTCAGGCCAGAAGCATTACCAGTCCCTGGCTGACGCTGTGGCCAGACTGAACATTGAGCCCACTCTCAAAGGAGAGAGTGGACCGGTCGGTGACCCAGTCGTTAGCGATCCCACGCACCCCAGTGGGGTACACCTGTCTCGCGACAGGACCCTAACACTGTTTGGGAGGAACCGACGGTCTTGTCCACCGTGAGCTTGGCTACCCACGATGAATTTTGACCGTTAGCCAACGGGTTCCTCTCCCAGCCATCCGTAAGGCCGATAAGGAATACGCAACGGGTTCGAGCGCGGGTGCCACAGTACCCTCACTGCTTAGGCGGCATCCCAAGATGTTGCCCTAACCAGGGGGGTAAACACTAGCGCAAGACAGCTTTCGACGCGCACGCAAAGAACACGCCCACGGCCTTGAGTTCACAGCTAGTGAAACCGGACGTGGGGGCTCATCATGCTGAGCCTTGAGCTGGAGTGCCACCCCACTACCTTGACCAAAGGTAGTGCGACTCATTTTGACAAAAAATGAATTGACATGCCAATGCTGCCTGGCCTTGACCAAAGGTCATTGCAGACCTCCTGGGGTTGCTTGACAAAAGCAGCACCTTTATGACCTTGACAAAAGGTCATACAGCAGCCAACCACCCTTTGACCTTGACCAAAGGTCAGCAACCAGCTTTTTGTTTCACCTTGCAAGCCCTTTAGCGTCACCAAGTTTCACCCCTGCGCCCTTTTGCCTTGACAAAAGGTCAAAGGTCGCATGCCGTGCATGTGTACAGCACCATTCTCTTTTTGCCTAAGGGTGGAGA